GAAAGCAGTTCTGGTTATTTTGGGGGTGAAGGTTTGCGGAGCAGCTGGGAAGCGTGGCTTTTGGAGAAGCAGGAAGTGGATGTGTTTCTGCATTGGAGATCCCAGCATTTGATCGCTGGTTCTGTTCTATCCAGGCCTCGGTTTGCGTACTGGGCTGGGTGACTGGCTTTTGGGTGGGAAGGGAGATGTGTGGGATGGAGAAGCGTCGTCTCCTGTTTGGAAGCTCCTGGATCCTTCTAGCTTTGGCCTCTGCTGCAGTTTCCGGCGCATGGATGACGCGCCGGTTCCTTCATTCCACCGCTGGAGCCTCCCTCAGCCCCTTGCGAGGTGGGAGAGCGTTTCCTGGATTTGCGTTTTCCTCTGTCGGGTCTCGATAATCCGAGCCAGTGGATTAATATTTGCTGGCTAGCTGTCCCTCGCCACGCTAACCTACTTTCCAGAGCATCTCTTTCCCCCCCCCCCCCCCCTGCCACTGAGAAAGGTCCTAAAGGGTGTCCATCTCTTGCTTGGGCTGCTGTTGCCGGAAAGACCTGGTGCTAAAAGGGGGGCGCCTGGATTGCCATTCAGAATGGGCCTCTGCCTCCTGGCGTTCAGTGTGTTGCGTTGGGTGGGCCATTTCGGTTGCTTTTTTGCAGGCCCTCGTCAAGATAAGGTCGGACATCCTCCATCCGAATTCAAGCCCTTCCTGTAAAGGGAGCTTTCAGCTGTGTCAAATTTGAGCTGTTGGCTCTACTCCCCTCGCCCCACAAAGTGGTCTGAGGTAGCAAATGTGACCCTGCTGTGGCACCGTGTAATCAGACCCTCCCTGACTCCCACCCCTGAATGGCTTGATCATCCTTGTTTTCTCTGTTGGCGCCTCTCCCGCAGCACAGGTTTACCTGTGGAAGGTCCCTTTGGTTTCAGCCGGGAAGGATATTTCCAGAATGTCGGGGAGGGGTGTTGGTGGGGCTGCAGGGGGCTTTCCTCCCTGCCAGGCTGCGCCATTCGGCCTGCTGCAGCCTTGGCAGTCCCCAGGGCCGTCTGCATTTCCCAAGGAGCGGCTCCTCAGCGGTGTCGGGTGTGCCGGATGCCTTCTGCTCTGGCGCGCACACTGTGCTGCAGTGTAGAGGAGCCAGGACTGCGGGGGAGGCCGGAGGCCAAGCCCTCCGTCCCTGGGTGGCGAGGTGGAATGCTACAACAAGCGCACCGTGGTGGGTGCCGGCTGCCTTTCAGACGCTCCCTGGCCAGCACGTGAGCACACAGGAACGGTGCAGGCAGCCTCAGCAAGGCTGAGCCATGGAGGATACGGCAGATTGGCCCTTGGGGTGGTCCCACTGCTGGGGCGAGGAATGTGCCTCCCTCTCTTCACCGTGCACTCTGCTAAGCGCCTTGACCCCGTTGGTGGAAATGAGTGCAAGGCTTTGGGCTGTGGCATGGATTTGCACACTCTTCCTAGCCCATTTTCACCCCCACCACCCCCCACGCACATTTTCCCCACAGCTTTAGTGGTTGGTTCATGGTTACCCAATGAGTGAGGTGGGCCCACATATTCTTAGCGGTATGTCCTGTAACCACTCCATCCCAGTCTTTCTCTTCCACGATAGAATTACGTACCGAAACCAGGAGGCTATTAGAATTATGGCCTTCTGAAACCTTGCTGTGTTTGGGGAGGTCGTAGTACCCCGAGCGTCACTGCACAGTGCAAGGTGACCGGTTCCTTCCCCCGAGAATTTCCCAGAATCGGCACAAGGGAGACAAAGGGATGGAGACTCCGACTGGGATCAGGTTTCTCCAAAGGCTGTGGGGTCCCAGTCAATGTTCCCTCTAGGCTGTAGAGTCTTGTGAGCAAACATTCTACTTCGTGAGCTTCTGGCATTCAAGTTGTAAGCGAGTGACTTGGCTACTGCATAAATTAGTTTGCTCTGGAGCCATCCTTCCTGAGCGAAGATGAAAACGTGTGAGCTGGAGGCTAAAAACTGTGAGCTAGCTCACACTAACTCAGCTTAGAGGGAACATTGGTCCCAGTTGAAGTGAGTCAGTAATGTGGTGTCGCCACCTCTCTTTTAGATCCAAGGGAGAGAAGTGGTGTTCTAAGTACTGCTCTAAGGGCCGCACGACACACGTTTCGAAGAATCATGGAATGTTAGAGTTGGAAGGGACCTTGCAGGTCATCTAGTCCAACCCCCTGCACTCTGCTGGAGCAGAGCCGAAAGATAGCCCTACAAAATACCCAAAAGATGGCCGTCCAGCCTCCGCTTGAAAACGTCCAGCGTTTCTGGGGGAATTTAGAAATGGGTGCCCGGCAGGGGCTGATCTTGGATTGTCCTCGTCCCCACCCCGGGGCCCTGAAGCCATAATAATGACGGGTGGGGTTTGCATATCAGTCCCATCGCAGCAAAGGATGAGGCATCTTTGGAGAAACCCAATGGGTGGTTTTGTTCCCGGCCTGACTTGGCTGTGCTTGGGAGAGGATTTCCCCTAGCTGACACTGGTCTAGTGACCCGAGGGCTTTCTGCAGTCCCAGCCTCGTGGCCTCGGTGCTCCTGCAGCGGCGCGAGCCCTTGGCTGGTCTCCTCATGCTTTTGCCACTCCTTGATCGTTGCCTTTTTTTGTTTTGGGGCAGCCAACCGAATGAGGTAGTTGAGCGTGGGGGGGGGGGAGCCCCCTACCCCATCAGCAATCACTCCAGTTTGTTCTTGTCTCCTTGTCAGTGCTCTTGCCTAACAGTATCTGAAGGCAGAGGGGTGTGGCGGTTGTTCAGGTCGCTTGGCGGAAGGGTGAGAAATGACAGGTCAGCGCAGGGCGGCAAGTGACAAAAAGGAGCAGCCAGTGGCTGGGTGGAACTGAGCGGGAGATGAGCAGGCACGTGCAGATGGTGCAGGTGGGCTCTCCAGGTGTAGTTCTGTCCTGATTCCTCCTGGCAATGGACCCTTGTCACTCAAAGCTCCTTGCGAGTAATCGTAGCCTCGGCTGAGGCGGCGGAAGCCGCCTCCCAAAAGCGGTTTCCACTCTTGAGGATATTTCGTTTTATTCCTCACAACGGCTCTGCGAGGTAGGGTTGGCTGCCTGCATGGTGATGGCCCCAAATCCGGCCCTCGCAGCTGGAGAGCCTCGGCAGGCCCAGGGAGCCTGTGATCCGGCCCCGCAGCCTTCCAGCTTTCGCCCTCGCAGGCACCACGAATAGGAGGTTAGTAAGTCCCTAGGAGAGACTGACATGCACGTCTGCTGGACAGCCCTCATCCTGGTGCGTTCAGAGACCAGCAGGGCTTTGCCGTTTCTGCCTCTCTGTCAGCATGTCTGGACTGAGGGGTTTCTTCCTGGGAGTTGGTGTCATTTGCAGGAGGTTGGCAGAAAAGATCTTGGGGGTCGAACCAGGGTGTGACCGTGACTCTCCTTTTGCATCTCTTTCAGGCTGACCAGCTTACTGAAGAGCAAATCGCAGGTGAGACTCTTCTCTCTCCCCCCCCCCCTCTTGTGTCTGGTGGTTTTGACAGCGTGTGGGCAGCAGAGGCTGATCTCAGATCTCGGCGAAGTCCCAGAACGTATAAAAGAGGGAAGGAGACTGTTTCTGATTACCCCAGAATGAGCATAAGGAAGAACTTGCTTGGCTGGTATTGACCTTTAAAATCCTATATGGCCAGGGTTCGACATACCTGCGGGACCGCCTTTCCCTGTATATACCCCAGCGAGCACTACGGTCAGGAACACAACATCAACTGACCGTTCCTGGCCCTAAGGACGCTAGGCTTGCGGCCACCAGGGCCAGGGCCTTTTCAGTGGCGGCTCAACACTGGTGGAATGAGCTCCCGAAAGAGATCAGGGCCCTGCGGGACCTTTTGCAGTTCCACAGAGCCTGTAAGACGGAGCTCTTCCACCAGGCTTTTAATTAGGAGCCGCCACTCCACCACTACCAATATCCGTGGTTTTGGGTCAGCTCTAGGGGGGGGTTTGCGTTATATCATCGCACCAAGCTGAAGATCACCGATGCCGATGAAAATTGTGAATACGCCATCTGAATCATTCGAAGATTACCATCAAAAGAGTACTATCATTAGCACTTTAGTTGTTAATTGTTGGATTGCTTTTAATGTTGTTGTTGATTTAAGTTGTTTAAATTTTGTATATGGTTTATGGTGCAGGGTACCATAAACAAGCTGCGGTGGCTCAAGTGGTTAAGACGTTGAACTGCAGGCTGTGGAAGGTCGGTAGTTCAACAGTTTGAGACCCGAGTGTGCCGCATGACGGAGTGAGCTCCCATCTCTAGTTCCAGCTCCTGCCAACCTAGCAGTTCGAAAGCAGGAAATTGCAAGTAGATAAATAGGTACCGGTTCGGTGGGAAGGAACAGCATTCCGTGCGCCTCGGTGTTTAGTCATGCCGGCCACATGACCACGGAGACGTCTTCGGACAGCGCTGGCTCTTCGGCTTTGAAACGGAGATGAGCACTGCAACCTTAGAGTCAGATTCGACTGGCTTTCGAGCAAGGGAGACCTTTACCTTTACTTTTTACCAATTAGTGTAAGCCGCCCTGAGCAGACTTCCTTTCATTCTTGTGACACAGGTTGTTTTGTCAGCTGTTGGCATGAGGGGGGGGGTAGCTACAGAAGCCCATTCCTAGCTAAAGCTGCCAGCTTCAAATTTTGAGGCACACGAAGCTTGTTTACCTGCGTCCACTTCAGGGAAGTGTTTCACCTCCTCAAGCGATGAAAGTGTTAAAGAGCTGATAACATCGCTAGAGTCCCTCTCTCCCAAGAACTCTTGATGGGCAAGAAACCTGCACGACTGTCCGTTCCAGCGGGTGGCTTCTGCCTGGCTTCTAACACCCCCTGTTCTCCCTCCAGAATTCAAGGAGGCCTTCTCCCTCTTCGACAAGGACGGGGACGGCACCATCACCACTAAGGAGCTCGGCACCGTGATGCGGTCTCTGGGGCAGAACCCGACCGAGGCAGAGTTGCAGGACATGATCAACGAGGTAGATGCAGATGGTGAGTGACTCTGACATTTGGGGGGGGGGGACCCCCCTCGGATTCTGCACCACACAACAAACGCAGCCCGTGCATGGGTTCAAACAGATACTTGAGACAGAATAATTCTTTTGGGCTGGTTCGTGTTGGAGAGAACCAGCCAGAGACGTTGGCTTATTAGCGCATGAAGTCTGCTCCGCAGTAGAGTCTCTTCCTTAGGAGAAGAGTCAGCCCCTTTGGTAGAGCCAGGCTAATGAATGTGGTGGGAACGACAGAGGGGACTGGGATGGGTTGGACACTGCCGAGCCAGCAGCGGCAGTGCCTGGGCAGCTGAGAGTCCCTGTCAAAAGCGGCACCCAGTCTCCTGGGGCTTGCAAAAGGTCCGGCTGGACTCCCGGGGCACCCCGGGCTTGATTCGACCATCCTGCGTGATCCCAGGCGGGGCGTGCCCGAGCAAGCTCAGATCGCAGTGGCAGATTGATTGGAGGTCCCCTGCAACGAGCGGCGCCTTTGATGCATAGGCCAGGCCCAGAGCATCCTCACAGTCCTCCATGATCAGAGTAAGCGAACCGCAAAGGGGCCAGGCCCGTTCCTGTCGACGTCATGAGCCTCCGCATCTTCATCGGCCCTTGAGAGCGTGGAGATTAAATCCCCTTCCGATGAGTCGAGGCTCGCTTGGTCCCAAGGACTGGCCGTCCCCGGGACTTCCATCTGCCAGCGCCGGCTCGCCGACGCCGATGCCTCTTTTCCAGGGAACGGCACCATTGACTTCCCCGAGTTCCTGACCATGATGGCGCGAAAGATGAAGGACACAGACAGCGAGGAGGAAATCCGGGAGGCCTTCAGAGTGTTTGATAAGGACGGAAACGGCTACATCAGCACAGCTGAGTTGCGCCACGTGATGACAAACCTCGGGGAGAAGCTGACGGACGAGGAGGTGGACTTGGTTCCCCCCCAGCCGGGGGGCCCCACCCTTGCTGCCCCGGGGGGGGGGAGCCAGCCTCCGCACATTCGGTGGTTCCTGGCAGAGGCGCAGCCTTCTGTGATGGAGGCAGCTGGCCCCCCGATGCTCCTGCACCTGCCGTGGAGTGGAGGAGTGTCAGGCTGGGCTCTTTGCTTTCGAGGAAGAAGCGGGCGCCACCGAGGACACTGGTGGGCCCATTAGGGTTCACCGCCTTAAACGACACTCCTCTGCTCCCAGGACGGAAACGGCTACATCAGTGCAGCTGAGTTGCGCCACGTGATGACAAACCTCGGGGAGAAGCTGACGGACGAGGAGGTGGACGAGATGATACGGGAGGCGGATATCGACGGGGACGGGCAGGTCAACTATGAAGGTGAGTGGGCGGAGGCCGGAGAGGCTCGCTGCCCGCTGCGTTCAGCGTTGCGACGGAGTCTAACGTCCCGAGGCTTTGCCAAACAAAAGACACGAGGAACAAAACTTTGGGGCTTTGAGGATCACCCATGTACCAAGCTTCAGGTTCCTCAGGTTCATACAAGTGCTTGTTAGGCTTTTGAATCCCGCACTTTGTAGGCAGGAGAGACGGCTCAGCCGCCCGGTTTCAGCTCTGAGCCATGTGGAAATACCCTCCTGAGTCAGCAAGTGAGGCTGAAGCCTCGAGCGAACGGGTTTAGAGGCTGTGGCGTTGAGTCAGCTGAAACAGCACAACACAGCAAGCCAGCTGTTGCGAGGCAGCTTGGGGTTGTGGTGAAGTGCGCAGACTCTAATCTGGGAGAACCGGGTTTGATTCCCCACCCCTCCACTCGCAGCTGCCGGATGACCTTGGGCAAGCCATCCTTCTGTCAGAGCTGTTCGCTCAAGGGCAGTTCTGCAGAGAGCTCTCTCAGCCCCGCCCACCTCCCAGGGTGCCTGTTGTGGGGAGGGGAAGGGAAAGGAGGGTGTAAGCTCCTCTGAGACTCCTTCGGGGAGTGAAGGGCGGGGTATCAATCCAATCTTTTCTTCTTCAGAACTCTGTGTCAGGCTGGATGTTAGCATAAAAAGGAAAACCCACCCTCCAGTTATTGCAGGGGCGGTTACGGTCAGATTGCACCCATGGCTGTTGGGGTCAGGAGAGCATTGTGTCTGGAGTGCAGGCCTTTTGTCGTTGCCCATGTAGCCCAACGAAGAGTCCTGAGAACTGGAAAGTTTCTATAATAATGTGTTAACTTTGGTTGGATTTTGCTGTGGATCAGCACAGGCATCTGCATCCTTAACCAGCTAGTTTGCCAGCCTGCGTTGGGTACATTGAACAGAACCAAATCCCGCTACGTCCTTCTGTTCCCCCCCCCCTTTTTTTTTTGAAGGGCGGAAGTGGGCCTTCACTCTTACCAGTTGTTGGTAGTGTGGCTCCTGACGCAGGCCTCAATTTGCAATCTGAGTGGCCGTTCAGCATGCCTGTCATCTGTCATTTCCCCTCCCACCTTTTTTGCTTCACTCACAGCCTTACTTTATGGAAGGATGTTTGTATGTTGCTTTTCCGTAATGTTAGACCGACGGCGGCTTTCAGTAAAAAAAACTGCAGTGCAAACCCTCCTAGAGAGCCAGTTTGGTATAGTGGTTAAGTGGTTCGACTAATTTGGGAGAACCGGGTTTGATTCCCCCACTCTTCCACTTGCACCTGGCTGGATGACCTTAGGCAAGCCGTAGTTCTGATAAGAGCTGTCCTTGAAAAAGAGCAGTTTCTGTCAGAGCTCTCTCAGCCCCACCTACCTCACAAGGGTGTCTGTTGTGGGGAGGGGAAGGGAAAGGAGTTTGTCAGCCGCTCTGAGACTCCTTCCGGTAGTGAAGGGCGGGGTATAAATCCAATCTCCTCTCCTCCTCCTCTCCTGGATCATTCCTGAATTGAACGGAAGCGTAGTGACGTCCCCGTGCAGGAAAATCTGACTGGCATTTTTTGGGAGATAAATACGTGCCCAGGGGCAGGAGGTCCTTCCCGGGAGGGATAATCCAATTAGAGCCACCCGTACGACAGTGTCATCCAATACAGAAGCCAACCAGCCTAAAAACGAAACACAAATTAAACTGGGTTGAATAGTGAGGGGTGGGGAATAGACATTTACTGGGGATCTCCTTGCAGTACAGAAGGGTGGGCGGCCTCTCGGCGGAACCCCCCCCCGACTCATTGGCTCTCTCTGGCCTGTGTCTCTTCCAGAGTTTGTGCAGATGATGACCGCAAAGTGAGGCCTGCAGAGCGGGCAGCTGGCGATGCCCAATTCTCCTTCGATACTTTTTTCTCCGACACACTCTCTTACTTAAGTAACCTGGTTCTCTAAGCAAACAATCGGCTGTGGAATAAAATCTGACCAAGCAATTAAAGAAAGAAAGAAAACCTTCCCAAGCTGCATGATTGCACGCTCTCCCTCCCCTTGCTCTTCCTCCCTTCCTCCTCCTCTTCCTCCCGGTGCCTCCCCTTAACATCCCGAAGGAAACCCCCCCCCAGCCTTGTGGATGTCTTTGTTTCCATCGGGTCTTCTGTTCGGCAGTCAGTGCTGGCCCCTCTCCCGGGGCGCCGAGTCTTTCTCTCTCTCTCAAGAATCCACACGATGGGGTGGAGACGAGCGCAAAACCCTTCTTTAATCGTGTTGCATGCGTCTGGCAGTGTGGTCGTGCGCATCGGCCCGGCGGTCGCCACCAGAGGGCTTGCCCCCGCGGAACACCGACCGAGGGGGTACGAGGAAGAAACTGGGGAGGGGGTGTGTGTGTGTCTTAGTTTTTGTGGGGCGGGGGTGGGGGTGCCATCACAAAAAAACCCACTCGGGAGCGCGTAGCCGAAGGTGGATTCCGGAGAGGTCCTATCAAGCGTGCTTTGGGGGAAGAAACCGGGGGAGGGGGTCTCGACAAGGTCCGATTGGCTCTTTAGAAAAACCTATAAAAGCGACCCACCCCCCTCCACCAACAAACCACCTGCAGCTTCGACTTTTTGTCTCCGCTCTTGAACCCTGTATAAATTGTAAATGTCCTTCCAGTTTTCCGAAGCATTTGTGTTCAGACATGAGCTGCTATGTAAATACCTGATGCCGCAGGCCCAGCTAGGGCGCCCGCGTGTGTGGAGATGGCAGACGCTGTGGGTCGGCAGCGGGGGGGGGGTTGGGGGCACGAGGTGGCGCAAAAAGACAGTGAGGCCGCTGCTGAGCGAACGCAGTTGTCTTGCCCAGCGCGCCCCCCCCCCCCCCCCCCCAAGCAAGGCTCTTCTTTTTTTTTGTCGTGGCTCTCGGCTTTCGCGCCTGTCCCTCCGCAGCTTGGCTTGGGCCGTCTGTGCTCTTGATGTCGCTTTCCTTCATCCGCGCCTTCCCTCTCCCTTGCAGCAAACGGCATGAGCTGTAGAATTGGCTTTTCTTTTCTTATTCCCCCCCCCCTCTCTCCACGTTCTGTTTTTTAATTGACGACGACGACAACAAAAACACGCAAAGGTCTTGGAGGGGAAACTGAAACCAGCAGCAGAATTTCCCTGAATACCGGGTGAATGAAGAGTGCTTTGGCGCGCAGTCGGCAGATGGATTGGACCCACGCCGCCTCGGTTTTATTTTTTCCGCCCCCGGTCTTTCTGCACCCCCGGCGTGAGCTGGTGGTTGGAAGGGGGTCTTTTCTCGCCTTGAGAGCTTGGAAAGGAGTTGGGGCGTGGGGGAGAAGGTTGGAACAAGGGTGTCCTTGAAAGCAGGTGGTGTTGTGTTCAGTTCAAGCTGTGAAAATAAAAATTATATCAATGTTTTCCAATAAAATGCAGTGACTACCTGAAACGGCTGGTGTGGCTTTGAACTGGCGGCCCCCTCACTGGGCTTTCCTGGCTTGTTTTATGACTTAAATTGCCCCCCCCCCCCTTCGCTCTGTCCTTGGGGAGAGCACAGCACCTTTGGAAAGCAAAGGTGTAGCAGCTTCCCGCTGAGCAGCTGATGAGGAAACCTCCATCTGGTTCCCCCTGAACCCGGATGCCAAGATCGTGCGTGACGTTGGCCAGCTGCTTAACGTCAATTTGCCGCTTCAGATGATCGACGATTCATATGCCGACATCTGGATTGTCATATGCTAGCAACGGGCCTTCAACGTAAGCCAAGACGTAAGTCCGTCTGCCATCCCCGCACGTAGTGTGCAGGCAAGGATCGGATCTGCTTTTCTCAAAGTCCTCCTGGAGTGGCCTGTCATTCAGGTCGCCTGTAAAAATGCAGTCTCTGAACGGAAGAAGCCGAAGCTGCCCCGACTCCCGCGGGAGTAAATCACATCAAACAGCGGGGATAACATTGCAGGGCTACCTGACAGGAACAAATGTCGTGAAATGCTGGATAAGCTTTACGTTGCCACGTCCATCAGCCAGGCATTAGTACCGCGGTGGAACTGCTGGGTCGAAAGGCTGAGAACCCAACTAATAAAAGACTGGAAAGCGGTTAAGGGACTCGTGAGATACCTGAAGGGTGCCGAAACCACCAGCCAATGATAGGCCTGGACTAGTGGTGTACGTGGATGCTGTTCTCAGCCGTGTCAATACCAGCTGGTGGACCTAAATTATTTATTTATTATATTTATACCCCGCCCATCCTGCGACCAGGCTCAGGGCGGCTAACGAGCGGTACAATATACCTAACTGGCATCACCATAAAAGTTTAAAACTACATAAAAATACATTTTAACTCATATCAGCGTTACAAAATTAACAGTTAACAATAAAGTGCTTGCAGTGCTGAAAGGTTAGCTGGCGTACTCTTCAGATCTAAATCCACGTCCGTCCGGTCATCATCCCTTGGGCAAATAGAGGCCTAGCGATACATCTGGGCCAGTCCTAGGTTCCAGAAGTTCAATGGAATCGTTGATGGTAACAGTAGTGGCGGCTCCTATTTGAAGGCCTGGTGGAAGAGCTCCATCTTGCAGGCCCTGCGGTACTGTAAAACCCATTTTGAGTCTCCCGGGGTGCGTGTGCGTAATCCTTTGAACGCCCGACACAGAGTCACTTCTTGGGCTCTGTCACCTCAGAAAGCCCCGTGGGGGCTGCTTTCATTGGGGAGGATGAGGGGCGGTACGGCCAAGTGACAGGCTCGGCATGAGCAGCAACCCTTTTCAGAACAGGTTCCCCTTCTGCCCCGGCCGGTCTTCCAACAGTGGCCGGCCCGGCCTGGGACTTCTTTGTCTCCTAGGGATGTCTGCGCGCTCACCCTCGTTTGTGGTGGACTGTAGTCTGTAGTGAGCAGTCTCCCTAGGAAGGAGCCCAGAGAACCGTCACTCATGCCGCACCTCGAGAGCTGGGCCTGAGCTCCTCTGCCGTGACTCCCAGAGACACTTGGTGCTCCTCACCCTGAGCTGGTGGCAGCGGTGGAATTGCAGGGGGCAGGGCCAGAAGAGCCGGTGAGTGTCTCGGGACAGATGCAGGCAAGAGAAGCCTCCCGAGATGCTAAATTAGTACTTGAGAACATAAGAGAAGCCATGATGGATCAGGCCAATGGCCCACTCAGTCCCAACCCTCTGTGTCACACAGTGGGCAAAAACAGGTGCCACCAGGAGGTCCAGCAGTGGGGCCAGAACACTAGAAGCCCTCCCACTGTTGTCCCCCCCCAAAGCACCGATAATACAGAGCATCACTTGCCCTAGACCTCGTGGCTAATAGCCACTGATGGACCCCTGCTCCATATGTTTATCCAATTCCCTCTTGAAGCCGTCCATGCTGGTAGCCACCGCCGCCACCTGTGGCAGTGAGTTCCATGTGTTCATCACTCTGGGTGAAGAATAAGAAGGACTTCCTTTTATCCGTTCTAACCCGACTGCTCAGCAATTTCATGGAGTGCCCACGAGTTCTTGTCTTGTGAGAAAGGAAGAAAAGGACTTCTTTCTCTGCCTGCTCCATCCATAATCTTGTAAACCTCCAAGCGTGTCGCCCCCCCCTCCGTCATTGTTTCTCCAAGCTAAAGAGTCCCACGTCTTCCAACTTAGTCTACTCTGCTTGAGGGATTCAGAACTTAAGAGCACACAGGGTCCCTCAATTTCCTAGTATTGATTGACAGGGCAGATCACAACAAATCATCCAGCGTCACAGAAAGACAATGATAAGTAGCTCATTAAAGCGGGGTTTAAAAACCGATTGCGCCAGATATTGCACAGTCTCCGATACTGGAGCAGCTGGATTCTGAGTTTGTTTAATCCATTCTTCCCTAATGGAGACCCCAGAGCAGCCTACATCAGTCAGACCAACGCCTGAAGGTGCTTTCTACCGAATCAGACCCTCGGTCGATCAAGGTCAGTATTGCCTACTCAGGCTGGCAGCCGGTCTCCAGGGTGTCAGGTGGAGGTCTTTCCCATCATCTGCCTGGTCCTTTTAACTGGAGATGCCGGGGATTGAACCTGGGACCTTCTGCATGCCAAGCAGGTGCTCTACCACTGAGCCATAGCTCCACTTCATGGCTCTCCAGGGTCTCAGGCTGAGGTCTTTCCCATCCCCTCCTGCCTGGTCCCTTTAACTGGAGATGCCGGGGATTGAACCCGGGATCATCTGCCTGCCAAGCAGAGGCTCTGCCACTGAGCCACAGCCCCACTTCATGGCTCTCCAGGGTCTCAGGCGGAGGTCTTTCCCATCTCCTCCTGCCTGGTCCTTTTAACTGGAGATGCCGGGGATTGAACCTGGAATCTTCTGCCTGCCAAGCAGATGCTCTGCCACTGAGCTACATGGCTTTCCAGGGTCTCAGGTGGAGGTCTTTCCCATCCCCTCCTGCCTGGCCGTTTTAACTGGAGATGCCGGGGACCAAACCTGGGACCTTCTGCATGCCAAGCGGAGGCTCTGCCACGGAGCCGTGGTCCCTTCTCCATTTTATCCTCACAGCCCTGTGAGGCTGAGAATGACAGGCCCAAGACGTTTCCGGGGGGGGGGGGGGGTTGGTCTGCCAGATCACAGTCTAGCCCCCTTGTCACATTGGCTCTTGGCTTGCAAGGCTCAAGCGTGATGGCGACCCCCGTAGGGTTTCCAAGGCAAGAAGACATTCAGAGTTGGTTTGCCATGGCCTGCCTCTGTGTAGCAATTCTGGGCTTCCTTGGCAGTCTCCCCTCCAAGTACTAACCAGGGGCCAACCCTGCTTAACCTTCCAAGATCCGACCAGATCGGACTAGCCTGGGCTGTCCAGGGCATGGATCTATGCGGGACGCAGCCTCCTATTTGTCTCCTTTAAATAGCTGGAAGGCGCTCCCCATCTTGGCCCTTCGGTTTGTGATGCGTGCAGTCCTGCAAACAGGGTCCCCTCTCTATCTGCAAAGCAGTTCCCAGAATTGTGAGTGGTTATAGCCGATGAGCTCCCAGCTTCCTTACCAGAAAGGAAGTTCCGTCCTTGCCTCTTCCTCCCCCCCCCCCCCCCAGTCTTTGTGAGAAGTTTTGAGTGGCCTTGCAGGAGCAGTAGCTATGGTCCTGGTGAAAGAAGGCCTGAGAAATCCTGTGGTCACAAGGGGGCCAGTCTCTGCCCCGAGAGGGAGGGTGGTCATGGGGGCAGTAGGCAGGGGTCATTTCGTAGAAAAAGAGGTGCAGGAGCTCATTAGCATAACTCATTGCATAGGCCACACCCCCTGACATCACTGGAAGTGTGTCAGTAGGCAACGCCCACTGTTCAGGCTCCGCTGGACTGTTGGATTGCTAGCTATTGGGGGGGGACACGTGCAGATCTGTCCTCACAGAGGAGGGAGAGCTTGTAGCTGAATAAAACTTGGTCTTAAAGGTGCCACTGGACTGTTTTGGACCAAGGGGCTGGGGAGGGGGGCTTTGCAGCTTACCTGGCTGCTTCTTGCTCTGACTGAGGGCTGCTGGGAGCAGGAGGTGGGGCTTGTTGCATGTGCCCGTCCCCTGGGCTCTTTACTGCCAGAGCTCCGCTCCTGCAGGAAATTACCCCTGGCAGTAGGTACTAGCATACTGCAGAAGGGGTTAAGAGGGCTGATGTCATTTCCTCTGTAGGCCTTAACCTTCGCTGCCCGCCTTACCGAAGGAGGTGTGTGCTTGCTCCTGGAGTATGAAATTGCTGTGCATTAAAAGCTTAAGAATCTAATGTAGGTTGTAACTTCCAGATCGGGCTCTATTTTTAAATAGCTAGAGTGGCAGAGGAAGCAGCTTCCTCTGCACCCCTCGGTTGGTGCTCCCCCCCCCCCGGCCACTGCTCTAAAGATTAGGGCTCCTGAGCAGCAAAGAAATGAGAGAGGTAGCAGCCGACCTGTCCCCCTATGAAGATGACGGCACTGTTTTCTCCCAAATTTCTGTCTTCTCGATTGACACCAGAGGTACCCTGGAACGCTCAAAGGGTTGTGGTGTAAGTGGAAGAATGGCCTTTGAGGAGGCTGCTCGTCGGGCCTCTGCACGAGTCCCTGCTCTGAGTAGAGATGTGAAGGCCCGGGAAAAATCCGGAAAAAACTGTCGTCCCCCCCCCCCCGCTTTTTTTACTGAAGCCTTTTTTGTTTTTTTCCAAAAAATTGGAAAAAGAAAAGAAAACAATGATTATGGAACGTTTTATTTTAACATGATGAATAAAATATTTTAAGACAAGGTGTTCAAATGTTTTCCAAATCATTTCTAAAAATATGTATGGTATCAGATTGATCTAATTTCTGTGCACTGAGGACAAGCAAGTCCTAGGTTACCGACTGAACTCTCCAATGCAAGAACAAGATGCATTTCTTCCTTTAGGAGGTGCTATTGTCACAAGAAAAGAAAAAGGGTTCAGTTTTGTTTTTGCATGTGGGTGGGTATTCGGTTTGTAATAATTGTTTGGATACACCGTGTTTTT